TGTGCTTGGTTTCTTTTTCTTTTCCATCTTGTGGTTATTAATAAATAGCACAAGTACAGTTTTCTTGCTATGATGATGATTATTATTAGTAAGAGTAGCTGAAAGAATAGTATAAAACCATCTTTAATAGTTGTGATGTAGTCTTTGGCATTTAAAATCCAACTTATAACAGGAATTTCCATCTGTAAACAGATTTATTTTTAACAGATGTTATTTTGTATATATAAATTTATTTATTTTTTTATTTTTTTATTTTTTTTTATTATATATGATATAAAATAATATTTTATTTATTTATTAATATTAAAATTAATTTATTGTTTAATTAGTTTATTAATACTGTATTATAACTTAGTTAATTTATTTTGATTGTGGGATTTTGTTATTATTATTTCATTAATTAATTTAATTATATTATTATGATTAATTGATTATAATTATGGATGTTATTAAATAAAAGAGGAAAGAAGAAGGCAATTATCATTCCTTTTCCTTCTTTTCTTTCGTCTTTTATATGTAATTATATTTTTATTTATTTATTTATTTATAATTATTTTTCGTTTAAAATAAAGAGGAAAGAAGAAGGCAACCACCATTCCTCTTCCTTCTTTTCTTTCGTCCTTATTTTAATGTTTTGTTTGGTTTATAAGTATACATGTTTTTTTTTTTTTTTTTTTACATATATTTTATTGATATAATATATTTTTTTTATTATGGATAATTATATACGTATAATAGGTGTTTATAATTTTTTTTTTTTATTAACTGAATATATATATATATATATATATATATATATATATATATATATATGACAAATAGAATATATATATATATATATATTCTATTTGTCATTGCTGTTTAGAGCTAAGAAAATACGTTGCGAGGTTGTGCGTGTGTGGGGATGGTCGGCGGCAACACACACATGCCTGCGCGACCGCCGTTTATGAACACCAGCACACTCACTGGCTTCCCCGGCTACAGAACTAATACCTTGACGGTTATCATGCTACGGACACCAATACAAGCGCGCTATGCTTGCCTCTAATCGCTGCCTGGTTGTGCGTAGAACTTTCCTCTCCCTTCGGGGCCCATAAGCTGTAGACTACAGCTTCAAAACAAACGCACGTGCGTTACAGCTGACGTAAACTACAAGGCGGCATGCCTTATGACACTTGAATTTATGAATCAAGTCAAATGCACACAGAAACAATTTAACAATAGTTAAACATTTTGTTGTAAACATTGTTGTTACAACAAAATGCCGGAGGACATTAGGTTGTATGTATATGCATATATATATATATATATATATATATATATATATATATATATATATATATATATATATATATATATATATATATATATATATATATATATATATATATATATACAGTACGAAAACCTACCACGTCAGTCATGTCCCATGAGTGGGAGTGAGACAGACTTATGCGATTCCCATACTTTCCTATGACTGACGGATAGCTTTTCTTACTGTATATATATATATGTATATGGATAATTTGGTTTTCAAATATTATCACTATTTCACTCTTAAATATTGAAAAACAAACAGAAATTTGAACTATTTATTTTAACATTCTCGAACGACACGCACTTCGGAAAAGGCAAACATAGACTAAAGGCACCTAAACTTAATGTACCCAACGAGAAGAGCATTTGTCACAAGAGAGGTATTTCTACGATTAGTCACGTCGGGTCGGTATTGGGTTCGCCTGTCGGCGCCATTCAATCTCTCGACGGTCGTAAAAATTATCGAGTCAGAGATCTTGCGAAGTATTAACGTCTAAACATTAGGGGCCGGGCGACAGAAAATCCTAGGCGAAGAAAAGGCAGTTTCTCTTTCCCAAATTTCAACCTCTCTATTTTCATTTCCTTCTTTCGTTGCACGCCTTTAAATATTATTCCCCAGCATAGAAAGATTTTAATTATTTCATAATTTTCCTGTCTCGTCTTAACATTTTTACTAATTCAAAATAGAGAGTACTTATACTAATAAATATCTATACACACATTATGATTAAAAAAAAAAAAAAAATTTTTTTTTATTTAATTAAATTTGCTTAGCTCTTTGCAATTGATTCCACACCGAAAATTCTAATCTGGAAAATATAATTCTGGATGCTTTAATTTAAGTAATTATTAATATTAAATTTAACATTGTTCACATCTACACAAATCAATACATTTTTTTATATAAAAAAAAAATTAATTAGAATTGAATTAAAATATATTTAATTATATCGTGTAGAATTTTTTTTTGTAAAACTTTCGTATGTAGATAATTTTCTAAAAATTTTATCAATTTGAAGAGAATTTTAAATTTAAAAATCTATAAGTGTAAAGAATTTGATGATTTTCTGAAAACTGCATTATTGATTTGTATAGAATTATTTGGTGTTTAACGGTGTAGACTTAATTAATTAAAAAAGAAAAAGAATTCATTATATTTTCCTCCATGAATAATTTTACGTATAAAAATTAATTCAAAATGAACTGTACAAATTTAAAAAAAGGGAATTTTAATTAAGATCAATTTTAACACAAATTTTTTTTAATTAATTTTCTCTTAGTTATGTTCTGTTATGTTATGTAGTTATGTTTAATTCTTTTCAGAATTTTCTTGTAATTACTAAATGATTCATCTCATTCAGGAAAATTATTATGATGTTGCAAAGAATTGAATTCTTTCTGCAATTTCTTTAATTTATCGAATAATAATCGATTTTGTTAATGACTGTAATTTATAACTTTACTACATTGAAGAAAGGATTTGTTGGATTCAAATAATTCAAATTGTTTGAAAAGATGTTTGATTGATTTAAGTACTTTTAGTTGAATCAAAAGAGACCATGCTTACTTGAACCGGATAAATCGTGCTTGATTCGGATGAATGGTGAATTGAATTGAATGAATAGATTTGTTTAATCAGGGTGGACACTTTTTTTTGTAAAAATAATTCCCGGTCACAAATTATTTTTTCCCGGTCATAAATAATAACTCTGAAAATAAATTATTCAATGAAAGATTAAAAGAATTTCCTGATTTTAGACAAAACTTTGATTCTTTCCCAAATCCTAAAAATAGTTTTGAACTCAAATAGATTTTTTGAATACCTATACTATATAAAGTTGAATAGTTTTTAAGAATTGCTACTGTAACTTATTAAAAATTATTTTCAAAATTTCAATTCAATATTATATTCTAGAAATAACTAAAATATTTTTAAAATCCCCTTGTTTACAAGACAATTTCATGAAATTTTGAATAATTTGAAAATGGGAATAAAAATACTTCTAAAAACTAACTTATTCAGAATTTTAGTTAAAATCTTTTAAAAATTCAACTTTTCTAAAACTTCAATTTGAAACGTTTGAAAATTCAATCTATAATAATAATAATTTAACATTCTAAAATATAGAAAAATTTGCTTATGAATAATTGTAAAAAAATTTTTTTTTTCAAAATCCCGGTCAAGATCAAAATTCATTGTCATTTCCCGGTCCAGCAGCCACCCTGGTTTAATACAAATATTGAACTGTTTGAAGCTGTTCTTTCGTATATTTTACCCAGGTATTTCGTTTGTTTAATGTAAATGGAAATTATTTGACACAATAAAGTTATTTTATTTATAATTATTACAAATAAATTTATATTATTACTATATAAATTTATTATTATTGATATAATAATTAATATTATTAAAAAAAAAAATTATATATATATAAAAAAAAATTTGCGTTTAAGTATAAAAAATGTGAAAGTGAATTATCAATGAATTGTCATCAGTATTTATCTTTTGCAATTAATTACTTTTAATATTGTTGATGTTGAAATTATTAATATTGAATGGAATAATTTTCATGCTTGATTCGGATAATTGTTTATTACATTGAAGTATTCGATTTGTTTGATTTGAATAATTTGAGTTTGATTTAAATGAATAGTTGTTTAATACAATTAAATGGAATATTCGGGTCAAATGATCGTTTATTGAATTCGGGTGTTCTGTTTATTTGATTTAAATTAGTTGTGTTTGATTCGGGTAAACAATTGTTTAGTGCGATAATATAAAATATTTAGTTCAATATTTGTGTATTTGACTCAAATACACATTTATTGGATTACGACCAAGTAAATGATTTGTTTGAATCGGGTAATTTTTGTTTGGTTCAGGTATTTTTTTTTATTTATTTAATTAAATAAGGTAAAGCAATGATAATATAAATGTATATTTGGAGAAATAAGCACGTTTGATCAGCATTCCGGGTACCTATACTGTCAATCGATCCCCGAGAACTATAAATCTGTCAAGGCTGGAACTCGTACGTTGCCCAATTGTAACCCACAGCTAGCGACGAGCAGCAGAGGAAAATCATTCTGAACAGAACCAAAATGATTCTCCGTCTTTTTTTTTCCTCTCTCTTCCCCTCTTACTCTGACCCTATAAGTCTTTCTTTCGCTTAACAGTCAAATCTCAAACGAAATTTTGATTTCCTTCGACACTGAAGAATGCTGTTTTACCTTAGAAATGATTAAATACCGAAAAAAAAAATGTCTCGGGCTCGTTTGTTTACCAATTTTTACATACTTTAAAATGATTCAATGCAACAAGTTTTTTTTTCTCTTTTCATAATTAATATTTGTTTCAGACATTATTGTATCAATTAAGCTCAAAGAAAAGATTACTATATGTTGGAAGCAATTGAAATTTAAGTAGGATTATTGAAGATAGCCGACTTATTAGGGAAGTTTCATTAAAACAGGCAATAGTTTAATTAAAAGAATTTTATTTTATCAAAATTTAAATTCCCCTTGACGGTTAATAAAATTGAATTTCTTTACAATATAAATTTAAAAGAAGGAGGGGAGGAAAAAGGATTCCATTATAGGAAGGGAGAATATATGTATATATATTTTGGATGAGCAAAAGAACATCTAGAACCAATCCTCTTCACTGTCCTCTGCATTGGCCGTTCCCATCTCTTCTGTATTCTCCTCAGAAGGCTTGCAATTGTCTTCCCCAAATAAATGTCCCTCGGTCCCGATTGGCTCCCATAATTCGGGTAAATCTATGTTGTATGTCTAAAACAAAGTTATATATAGAATACCCCAAAAGAAAGCAGTCCGTATTTAGAATAAAATAAAATTTTTTTTACACTTACCAACTGCCATGATCCGTTCTGGGAGTGTACGCCGTCCGCGTTTTTATAAAAAATCTGAATAAATGTCAGTTTGAAGGACTTCTTTGCGGGAACGAAGCCGTTATATGGTGGGACTTTCGGCAGTGACTTAAACAAACTAGTAATACACAAATTAGTAAACATATTAAAAAAAAAAGAGAGAGAAAATAAATATTTTGTTTTGTTTATTAAACTAACCAATTTCCCTCAGGATGAGCAATTCCTGAAGCATGCTGCTCCATTAGCTTTAAAGACGTGTCAGCGACTAATAACGGATGTTCGAAATCTTTCTAAAAGAAAGAAAAGAAGAAATTTTGAGATACCCCGGAATGATTGAATTTTCATGAATTATTTTCTGGTTTGCTGATATGATTGAACTCTTGGAGAGATTGGTTGGACTTCTACTCAAAGAAATTGAATTTAAATAATTATTCAATCCATTCTAAAGTTATTATTTACGCAAAATAAACACGATCATGCTACTCACGGTGGCCCAGAATCCGCGCACATAATATTTTCGTTTGGAACCATCCCAAAAATACTCCTGGTGCCAGCATCCTCTGGAATAGGGCTTGGATTCAACAGTATTCTGTATGAATTTACTGAAATACCAAGCATCGCCCTGACTTTTCCTAAAAGGAGCCTCCTCCCACGGTCCAAATCTAATCGTAAAACTAAAAAAAAGGGGGAAAACTGAATTTATAACCAAATTCGAAATTTTGTTTAAGTCCAAAGTTAAAAAAAAAAAAAAAAAAAAAAAAAAATTTCTGAATGATAGGGTGAAGTGGGGTGAAAAGCCACATTTTTACTTTCGATGCTGTAAAATCTGTATTAAAATTGTGGGGTGGCCACTACAAAAAAAAGAATAATAACTCTAAAATTGATTGAAACTCCAAAATATGTTTAAAATACATTTTCAAATCTCTAATACTAAAAATAATTTTGAATTTAAATGGATTTTGAAACAAATATTTAATTACTATCCACTATTTTTCCGTATTATTGTTCAAATTTCAAAACCTGTAAATTCGAATAATTTTGAGAATTGCTTCTGTCACTTATTAAGTATTATTTTCGAACTTTTAATTCAATTACCTTTAGAAATTTTAACTGAAATATTTCTAAAATCCTCTTGTTTACAGGACAATTTCATGAAATTTTAAACAATTAAAAAAAAAAATTTGGACATTCTTTATAACTTTCCTTTAATTATATGACAAATGATCACATTTAAACAATATTTTAATAATTATGAAAAAGCTTTAGCAAACAAAATTGAAATTGTGTTGAGTTTACCTGTTTTCAATTTGCACTATCAATTTTCGTACCTTTTGGAAGCTTTCTTTAAGTTTCATTACAGATAACATATTTTAGTTGCAATCGTTTATTTTTTTTATGCACTTTAAAACTACTAAAATATTAAATGTATTTAATTAATTTTACTAAGTAAACACGATAAATCTTGTAAAATAAGAAAGTTAGTCTAAGTGGAGGACGGTTGAATTTCGCAAGGATATTCAATGGAATTTTACCCTGGCTTTCCATCCCACTCTACCCTGATAACCGAGAATTTTGTTAAATGAGAATAGTGGGCACCCTATTAGCAAGAACTTTAATCCTACTTACCCTCTCTCCGATCCGAGTTGCTGGAAGTGAGTCTTGTACCGAAAATATCTCTTGACCTTTTCAACAAAGGGCATAGAATGCTCCTTTGTTTCTCCAACAAGCAACCTTGTCAAGAGGTGGCCCCTCAGAGTCACATTCTTGTCCCCCGGAACCAAACTACAAATCTCCCTTCCCCTTCTGACCAGGTCCATAGCTTCCTCGTTCGTATCTTCAGAGGACCAGGAATAAGAACAAGAAGAGGAATCTAGTTCCTCGGTAAACCCCAACTCAACACTACTTGAAGCCATTTTATTTTTTTTAAAAAAAAATTATATATAAAAAATTTTTTAACGGACACTCGGATTGTACACCACACTTGCGATCTAAGAACTGTTCACTGTACTGTTCGTTGCGAAGACCGGGAGAGCACTGAATCACTAGGGTGAGGTACTGGACCACTACTCGTTAACACTGACATTACGTCACTAAATTGACGGTTCTCAATTGTGTTCATACTACTTAAAGATGTGCGGGCGCAATGTAAAAAATTATATATATGAGAGTACCCGACTAGGTTAAGCATCACTGAGACGGTTTGGAAATGTCCTATGCTGCGACAAGGAAAATTGTTTTAATGATAGAACGAATTATTGGAGGATTTTTGAGGTTCACATTTCAGCTGCACTTACCGAAAGTCATTGTGCGTTTTTTTTTTTTTTTTAAATTTTTTTTGTACAATAGTAAAAAATTAAGAACACAAAAGTTATTGTCTTAATTACTCGAGAATTCTCTAGGAATTATATTTTTGAAATTTTCCCAATTTAAATTTTTTTTGGGTTCAATTAAATTTTTATATACGATAGCAATAATTTAATAAACAAGGCATGTTATTTGTAAAACAGCTTTCAAAATGTATGTTTCCTGATTTGCATTTAAAATTAAACTTTCAAAACTGTTTAATGTTTTGCATTCAAGATTCTTTTACAAAACCATTTTGTATTTAGTGAGCAATCGGATTTGATACCCAAAATATTATTGTTGTACCCTAATCTTAGTTATATAATCGAAGTTTTAATTAACAATTAGACAATAGTGATAATCATTTAAAAGAATTGAGGCTATTACCGAAGCCATTACTTCTTTACTCATATTATATATAAAATTGTATAATCATTTTCGAAATATTGATGAAATTTTGTTAATACATGCATCGTCTTACTACGTGCATTTCTAAGCTCAAGGCATCAAGGTTTTCGGGGACGAAAACTGGAATTTTCACGGTGGATTGTTAGAATACTAGTTCTTTAAAAGGGTTATTTAGGAACGATGCGGAATAAATATTAATTTTAAATTTAGTCCAAGCATATAGGAACGTCGCGACGCAGCAACGCTATGCTTGAGGATATTTGATACCTTGATAACGTCAAATATCTTACAAGGAATGCCTTTAACTAAGAAATGCGTACAAAATAGTTGGAAAGACAAAAGAACTTATTACTTCCTTTCTTTTTCTACTAAAATAATTAATACAAGATAAATTATAAACAATCATACAGGAGCAATAAATGCCGCTCACATGCTACATCCTACATCAAAAAGAAAGCGCAATGTTGCAGCTAAGATATGTATTCAAGTCTAAATAATTAAGTTTAAATATTACATTAACGATCGAAGGTATGAGTGCAATTTTAAATTGTTAAAACATCCATTAAGAAATTGCATTGTAAGGTTACGCGTGTGTGGGGATGGTCGGCGGCAACACACACATGCCTGTGCGGCCGCCGTTTGTGGACACCAGCACACTCACTGGCTTCCCCGGCTACAGAACTAATACCTTGACGGCTTTTATGCTACGGACACCAATACAAGTGCGCTATGCTTGCCTCTAATCGCTGCCTGGTTGTGCGTAGAACTTTCCTCTCCCCTCAGGGCCCATAAGCTGTAGACTACAGCTTCAAAACAAACGCACGTGCGTTACAGCTGACGCAAACTACAAGGCAGCATTCCTTATGACACTTGAATTTAGGAATCAAGTCAGATGCACACAGAAACAATTTAACAATAGTTAAACATTTTGTTGTAAACATTGTTGTTACAACAAAATGCCGGAGGACATTAGGTTGTATGTATATGCATATATATATATATATACTACTCGATATGTAAAATGCATATACAAGCAACCTATAAAAAGTAGGAACAATATAATTACAATAAATAAATTATATACACTATTATAACTAAGATAAATAATAATTCTATTAATTAAACAATATAATTATTATTTAAATTCTAAGTTATTTCAAATAATATTTCAAAAAAGTATCATGTTAACAGACCGTTTCCGTTCTCACGGACCCACCGTGAGATCCAAAACGTCAACAAAAATGCATAGACCAATGGGCCCATGACTTACTCCTACTACTTACTCCTACTCCTAAAAATCATCCCCGCTTTGCACCAAAGGCAAGGGTTAGAGGCTTGTCGCAAAATTTCAATCATAGCAGTACGAATTCTCGCTTCTTCTCGAAGACACCTCTCCTGGGTCTAACCTAGAAAGTGTTTTGGGACAGAGAAATTTCGCGACAAAAAGCCCGTCCGCGACCCGGAACCCGATTTGCATGAATTAGGGCAGACGTTAAAATTTTCAAATTCTCTGAGCCGGTGGAGTCCAGTGCGGGCTGATTTTGGAGAGATTTTGGAATTATTAATATAATTAATAATTCTAGAATCTTGTTATTTATAACCGGCCGATTGCATAGATATTGCCCGCGTCCGTCTCAAATATCGGTGGCCCACGAGCGCGATCATAACCAATTATCGAATTATCGGTTGCATAGATATTGCCCGGACTAATTCGGTAAACGGTAGATCCGCAGTGAGTTTTACACAGTTGCGTGAGACGGCCGGTTGCATAGATATTGCCCGCGTCCACTCACCACAGGTGCAATCTCGCAAACGAAAGAAAATTTCGCGAATCAGACGTCGCGATTTTCAGCAAAAACAAAAACAAAAGAATTTTCGCCCGACGGATGTTTTGTGATTCGAAAGAGGAATAGCTCCGCCGGTAGTTTGTAAGTAAATAATTATCGTTTCCATCACATATTCTAACACACACACACCCTTTCTATTTGTAACACACTATAACCATTCTGTATTCAAAAGGTATTTTGCTAAATTAAAATAAATCATGTATTCATAGAATCAATTTCTTTACTTACCTAACTAAACCCTAAATTCAAATCATCTTAAAAATAGTGCATTTAACGAATCAGAAGGTAACTTTTAAAAGTAGGATAACGTCCCCACAAAATTAAACAGAATAATTAAACATTCTGGCAGCTTGGTGCCTCCCCAAATCGAAAAAAGGGCCATCTCAAAAGCCTAATTTATAAATTTATTTCTGGTTTGTAACATCAAAATCCTTCGCGTAATGTTTAATATAATCCGTCAGTTCGATGTGACTTCTCTCAAGTGCCCCGTTAGTTTGTGGGCGGTAACCAGATGTCGTAAGTTGTTTAACGCCAAAAATTTTTTCTAACTTACGCATCAAGGTGCTAACAAAACTTGCTCCTCTATCCGTTAGAATGCAACGGGGTGCTCCAAACACTGAGAATAAGTTCGTAGCTACCGCATGGGCAATTGTTTTTGTTTCTATATTCGGAATGGGGACCGCGATACAGTACTTAGAGAAATTATCCTGCATTGTGAGGATGTGCCGATTTCCGTTTGGGGTGGTTCGCAATTTTCCGACGGTGTCTAAAGACACCTTGTCAAAAGGCATTGCCGGAGTATCGGTAATTATCATCGGTTCTCTTGTACGGGCCCTAGCGAGCTTGTTTTCGAAACAACTCTTACATCCTCGAATAAATTGGGTAACGTCGTCGCGCATCCGGGGCCAGTAGTATCTTTCCCTAATTCGTCGGTAGGTCTTGCCTATACCTTTGTGTCCACCTATCAAACTGGAATGAAATTCGGAAACGATTTTACCGCGTAGTTCGACTGGGGGTACTTCAATTTTTCCGTGGCACAAGGTGATGGCTGCGTCGCCACCGCGGAAAATTCCTGC